TATTATATATATATTTTTTTTAATTTAGCGAAGTGTTATTTTCATGTCAATGAAATACTATTATAGTTTTTCTTAATATTTTGAATTTGTTTTTTTAATAGTTTCTTTCCTGTTCATGTTAACATTTTAGTATTTATATTTTTGTCATTTTTCTTAGTTTTTGTTGTTTTAAAAAATGTCTGTATAGTTTTAATTATTTTTTTTTATTTAGTTTGTTATTTTAGTACATCAAGTTAAGCTCAGTGAATATCATTTTTTCTTTCTTTTTTTAGTTATGTGTTATTTCAAGTAACACATTTATTTTTATGGTTTTAGTTAATTATAATAACCCTGATTTAGTGTTAAAACAGGACTGAATTAAGTCATGTAGTGTGCACAAGCCAATCTGACTAGCCACAGAAGCCACAGCAGATTTTAAATCTGTAGTCAAGAATAACACATTGCTGTGAGCGACAGTTTGTGACAATTTACAGGAGTGTAGCTTCATTTGGGGAGAAGGTTCTGCTTGTTTGAGTCACTTTGCTACAAAAATAAACCCGAAATATAGTGCTAAACTTGGCTCTCAAGAGGCAGAAATACAAAATGAAGAAGTAGCTCTAGAATACAGAAGTGCTACATGAGGCCACTAATTAGACACTAATTAAACTAAATTAAAAACAAGTAACTAAACTAAAAATAAGTAACATCTGACTGTCTCTCGGCCCACTCATGCCTCTAACGATAACTATATCATTAAATCTAATCGTTCTGATGCTATGAGATTAGTGAAGTCCAGTCTGCAACTATAACGATAACGACACAGAGGAACAATATCACCAAAATTATGGATGGAGTGATTACCGGTTTGACGATAAATCATGATAAAATTCCCCACGGTTGGTATTACCATTTCATATTTTAAGTATCATTAAAACCGTATTTAATTACGTTTTGTGTGAAAACATGGTTTTAAAAGAGTGCTAAGGGAATTATACAAATGAATATACGCATGAATACGAATGACCTCAGGTGATGCTAACCCTGGAACAACATATAGAACTACCAAATTTTGCTTAATCGCAACATTTAATCGCAATCGCAAAGTTTAATCGCAACATGTAATCAAACAGACGGTGAACACTATTAACTGCAATGATTATGTGTAATTTGTAAATAACTTTATGATTCTTACTGTACATTTCTGCCATAGTCACCACTAATAGCCTACTCCTAAATATAATGTAGAGAATTAAAATTTTCTCTAAAGCTGCTTTGCAGTGATTTGTATCGAAAATAAACCTGAATTGAATCGAATTGAATGAATGAATTATATTTTGTTTATATTTTTGTGATAAAGTAGTGTTTTAATCGCAATGCTGCTTTGTTCACGGAGGTTACGGGAAACAGCTGTAATCCTGCTGCTCCATAAGCGCCACCTGCTGTCAGAGAGTGGGTTTACAGAGACGTATATTCACATTCAGCTTGTGTGCAGTTTCTGTCTGGACAAAAAAACAGACCAAATTTGCATGGCCTTCTGTAAACTTTGATGAAAAACAAGCTTATGTGGATTCTACACATTTAAACAATTTGGATAAGGTATCTAGAATTATTTATGGAACAGATAAAATACATATAATCATTTATCGATCAATTATCATTTTCATTTAGACTTTTTATTCTATTGTTTTTATGCAAACAAAGTCATTTTATTTGTTGTTTGTTGATTTTAAATATAAAAAATTATTTACGTGTTAGTACTTTTTGAATATTCCGAGCACATTTTAACAATACCATGATAATACTGAAAACATGATCATTTTGGTCACTATAATCATGCTAAGAAATTTTCATACCATTACATCTCTAATTGAAATGATTTTCAGAACAACTTTTTTCAGCTGATGAAGGTTAAAAGCATTGACAGCCAATCAGAAACCACTGGACTTTAAAGTGGCAGATGATAAAACTGCGGTTCGCTTATAATAAACAGTGTTGTCCGTTATTTTTGAGCACTGAAGGGTCAAACATTATTTTTTTAAATATTTTTTTTATATTGTGCTCAATGCCATGCACTGTTTGAATTTCTAACTTTAATATCTCACTAGCCAGAAAGTCTCATTTATTTGCCAAAGCCTATTTTTACCTGCATTAGGTGCATTGTGTTTGTTTTTGGAGCCTGTTTCTCTCTTTGGGTCTTGATTTGGTTCACAAACACCATGAGGACTGTGTGTGTTTGTGTTCCCGCTCAGGTGGAAGGGAGACTATGGCGGGAAGAAGCAGCTGTGGTTCCCTGCGAATTACGTGGAGGAAATCAGCCCGACGGCCGTGGAGCCTGACAGATCAGTGAGTTGAGCGTGTGTGTGTGTGTGTGTGTGTGTGTGTGTAAGGGAGACTATGGCGGCAAGAAGCAGCTGTGGTTCCCTGCGAATTACGTGGAGGAAATCAGCCCGACGGCCGCGGAGCCTGACAGATCTGTGAGTTGAGCATGTGTGTTTGTGTGTGTTGTGGTTGTTGTGTTGTGTCAGAGGCGCTCTGGGCTCCGACCTTTACCCCTGTTCTCGCTCTCGCTCAGCAGGCCACAGAGAACAGTCCTCTGGGAGATCTCCTGAGAGGAAGTATGGACGTGTCTTCCTGTCAGATCGGTGAGTGTGTATGTGTGTTCCTCCTCCCTGATACACACTCAGCATCAGATCAGATGTTTGATCTGACACACACACACGCACACAGACACAGACCCACACACAGACACAGACACACAGACAGACAGACACACACACACACACACACACACACACAGACAGACACACACACAC